CACGGTTTGGTGCGTCCTGTGACCCGTGAGAGATGTTGCCGGAGCCCGAGTCTGTACAGTGCTCTGGGTGGCGTTCTTGCCAGAGTGTCTTTGGTGTGTTTGCGCTCCCACCAGGGGGCTTTCGCCTTTTGCGTGTGGAGGTGCAGGTGTTCTAGCACCGTCGCGTCGTAGCCCGTTATGCTGTTCATGCTGCTTCGGCCGCCAGGAGGGTGTGGGCGTGGGGGGTCGTGGCTGGAGGACACGATGCGGTGTTCGAGGGAACCATGGAGCAACAGGGGGACATTCAAGGTTCACCAGACGTGCGGTAGGACGCCCGAGGCGGGGTGGGCAGAGCAGAGGACCCCGCAGGTGGACCTGCTACACTGGGGCTGAGGGCAGAGGCGCCCGCGGCGGGGGGTGGGGGAAACAGGACTGGGGGCACCCGGCCGGCCAAGTGTCCAGTGCTACTGGAGGCAGGACCCAGCAAGCCGCCGAGGCTTTGGCCTGGCCGTGCGTGAGCTCAGCTCCAGCTGGGCCTGTGGCGGATCCCACTGGGTGTGAGGGGGCAGTGGGGGCTCAGGGCCCAGGGAGGGGCTTTCATTTTTATTTTAAGGCGGACACCGTACACTTGGTGTGTGCTTGTGGGGGTCCTTGTGTCCAGGTGGGAGAGGGCCGAGAGGCACAGGCGGTGGGGAGGGTGGTGGAGGCAGGATGGCCACCGGGTCAGAACCGGTGCCTGGGTGGGCGGCTCATCCTCTGGGCAGTGACGCAGAGCCCCATTGGGGCCGTCGGTCCCCAAGGCCGGCGCAGCCAGGGCATGGGCAGGGAGGGGGACCCAGGGCGAGGCAGGGGATGCGGGCAGTGGCCACGCTCAGGATGCTCAGTGGGAGGGCAGGTGGCACGCCAGGGCTTTGTGGCCATGTCTCTGCCTGGGGTGCAGGAGTGAGTGTCCCTGCTCAGCGCCAGGCTGTGCCGTCCCCACCTTGACGCCCCGTTTCTCTCCCGCAGAACTGAAACGAGGGATTTCCCAAGACTTGCCTTCTTCCCCCAGACTGGACAAATACAAAATAGCAAGACAATTGACGGAAAAAGCCATCAGGGTAAATGCTCTCCGGGACCCTGGGGGGAGGCGGACACTATTTGAACGTGGGAATTTATTTTGGAGTTTGGGGTGGGTCGGTCTGCACTCGCGGGCGGAGGTGCCCTGTCCTGCCAGCGCCGTCTGGCCCCTCCCACGAGGAGGGGAACACTGCCCGAGCTGCTTCGCGTCTTAGGGGCTCCTCTGCCCCACGCCCCGCCCCGCCCAGGCGGCCAGCGCTGCCCATCCTGCCGGGAGGTTCCAGGTCGGAAACTGGCCGTCTCGGTGCATGGTGTCCCCAGCCCCCGGGGGACACTCCCGTCGCCTGTGTGTGCAGAGGGTTTGCTCCTCAGGGGAGGAGCTCCACCATCACGGGGCGGCCGGCACCCCCAGGGAGACCAGCCACACCCTCGCCGCAGACAAGAGCACGTCCTCTCTCTCTGGGCAGCAGGGGACGGCCTCTGCCCGGAGTGTGGGCATCCGGGTCTGGGGAGACAGGGAAGGTTCCCACGCTCTGTGCACGGGAGCGCTGGCTCCCAGAATGCCGGCCTCAGAAGGGAAGAGTGCCTGACTTGGGGAAAGGCGCATTCTCTGTCTGTACAGGGTCAGGGTCAGGGTCAGGGTCAGGGTCAGGGTTAGGGTTAGGGTCAGGGTTAGGGTTAGAGTCAGGGTTAGGGTTAGGCGGAGGAGCTCCGGGAAATCCGGTGCACAGGAGTGTCGGGGAAATGTCCTCACTCCCTAAACTGTCTTCTGAGGTCCACGCATATAAAAAGGCACCCGCTGCCGTTGTGCAGGGCTTGAGGGCGGAGGCTGGATGCGCCCAATGGCGCAGGGGAGCTGGTAAGCAGGTTTGCATCCAGGGACCGACTCGGAGGATATGCCCTCCACCCTGGGGCTTCCCTCCAGCCGCCATTCCTTCCCCCACCCCAACTCCTGGCGGCCACTGATGTTTCACTCTTTTCTTTTCTTTTCTTTTCTTTCGACAGAGTCTCACTCTGTTGCCCGGACTGGAGTGCCATGGCTTCAGCCTAGCTCACAGCAACCTCAAACTCCTGGGTTCAAGCGATCCTTCTGCCTCAGCCTCCCGAGTAGCTGGGACTACAGGCATGTGCCACTATGCCCGGCTAATTTTTTATATATATATCAGTTGGCCAATTAATTTCTTTCTGTTTATAGTAGAGACGGGGTCTCGCTCTTGCTCAGGCTGGTTTTGAACTCCTGACCTTGAGCAATCCACCCGCCTTGGCCTCCCAGAGTACTAGGATTATAGGCGTGGGCCACCACGCCCGGCCAGCACTCTGCCTTTTAACCAGAGCATCTGGCGTGTGTATGACAAACCGCAGGCATGTACAGGCGTCTGCAGGTATGTCGCTACCTTGTTTCATCCACCTGGTGTGTCCCGTTTGTCCAGTTCTTTCTTCTCGTCTTTTGGGCTGATGACTTTGTTCATTTCACTTTCCCTCCCACGTCCCTGAGACGTCTTTTCTCTGGTTTGATGCTTTCCCAGATTCCCACAGGAGTTGTGCTCTGCTGACTTACCAAAGTCAGTCCGTTCTCCCACAGTCCTCAGTTTGACCACAACCGGCTGATGGGAGGGGCGGCGGGAGGTCTCTCCGAGCTTTAGGGCAGGTCTTGGGCCAGTTCCTCGGGGAAGGCGGCTCAGAGACGTCCTCTGACCTCCCGGGTGTCTCCCGCCAGGACTCTGGTCGTCTGTGCCACCAATCACTCTCCCACGGTCTTGGCTGTGCGAGCCGGCACCGCCTGTGGCCGTGCTGTCCCTGTGGGCCGGGGTCTGGGCAGGGCCCCCCGGGGGCTCAGGGGCTCGAGGCTCACGTCTGGCCGGGCTGGGAAGGGGCCACTTCCCCAGAGCCTTCGGAGGGAGATGGAGCCCCCGCGTGCATCTCGACACTAGGGCAGCAGCGACCCGCTGTCTTTTCATTAACTCTGCGTCGGCGTCAGGTGACCCAGGACTCGACTCTGTCTGCAAAGTCCACGCGTCTGCCCGATGGCGTTGGTGATGGGGATGCACCACCGCTGTCCCCGGTGGACAGACGCGGTCGCAGGCCCGCCACTCCCCAGGGAGGGTGACCCAGGGCCCCCACAGTCCTCTGTGGCTCCACCCGCTCCCCCTCCTGGCCTGGCCCTGGGGCGCCGGCTGCTCCCCTGTGGGGCTGCATCCTTGGCCTTCGCCATGGCCTGGGTGCAGGTCCCAGCCGATCCACGATGGCCTGTGCCCTACAGCCCTGCCTGGGCTGTGTACGGCTCCTCCTCAGCCTCAAACCTTGGGGACCCAGGCTCCCCGACACGGGGGGCGGTCACCCCACAGAGAGGACAGCCACCCGCCTGTCCTCAGATCTGCAGTGCACAGCCGGCCCCGTCCACCTCCCGGTCAGCCCCCCACACTGGGCCGCGTCTCTGAGAGCTCCCGCTGCCCTGCCCTGCCCTGCCCAGCCCTGCCGCCTGGGCCCCTGTGTGCGAGCATGTGTGTGCACAAGTGTGTGTGGGTGTGCACTGAGTGAGTGTGAGAGTGTGCACGAGTGTGAGTGTGTGTGTGGCTGTGAGTGTGCAAGTGTGTGTGCCTGTGCAAGTGCACAGGTGAGTGTGAGTGTGCGAGAATTGCACATTGTGTGAATATGAGCGTATGCACAAGTACGCAAGTGAATGTGAGTGTGCAAGTGAGTGTGCAAGTACACAGGTGAGTGTGCATTTGTGCATAAGGGTGCACGAGTGTGTGAGAATCGCACATTGTGTGAGTGTGTGTACAAGTGCACAAGTACATGAGTGAATATGAGTGTGCATATGTGTGCAAGGGTGATGAGCGTGTGAGGGTGTGGATGTGTACAAGTGTGTGTGGCATGTGACTGTGGCGAGTGGTGTGAGTGACCGTGAGTGTGGGTGCAAGTGTGTGTGTGCAAGGGTGTATGAGTGTGTGAGCGTGTGGATATGTGTGAGTGTGAGTGCGTGTGTGGCGTGTGAGTGACCGTGAGTGTGGGTGTGCGTGTGTATGTGTAAGGGTGTGCGTGTGTGCGTGTGTGAGCACCTGCACACACCAGACGAAGTGGACATAGAACCACGCTGTCCCTCTGTGCCACGTCCGGTGCCCCCGGCCTGCACACGGCCCACACGCGTGTGCGCACTTCCTGTTCCCAGTGTTGTTCCCGCCGTGGCACAGCCCCTCCCTCTGCTTAGAAAACCCCTCTCACTGGGGGGCAGTCAACCCGTTTTCCTGTGCCCTGATTCAAACGTGCTGTTGCCGCCTAGGAAAAGAAGATCTTCTCCATCTATGGGCACTACCCGGTGATCCGGGCGGCTCTGCGCAGGAAGGGCTGGGTGGAGAAGAAGTTCCACTTTCTGCCCAAGGCGGCCGTGAGTGCCGAGGACGCAGGGGACAGGGCTGCTGGTACAGTATTTCCTCTGCGCCGGGCGCTGTGCCTGCCGCGGTGCGGGGGCCAGCTCGGCGGCGCTGGGTCCCTGCCCAGGCCCCCCAACCTTGGGGCTGTGTGACCCACGTCTCCCGGCCCACCCCCTACCGCCCCCCCGGCCCTGGTCACTGCTCCGGGCCCCACGTCCACACCAGGCCAGGCCTCCTCCTGTCGGGGTCCCCACCGCCCCGCTCCGGCCCCGGCTCCCCGGTGCCGGCTGAGCCCCTGACCCCGTGCACAGCAGCATGTGGCCTTCGCCCTCTGGCCCCACCGAGGCCCTGCCAGCCCTCCTCCCCATCCCGGGTCCTGAGCTCAGAGCCGTTCCCATGCTCACCCCTGGGCTGTCTCCACCGCCCCGCGCCCCGGAGTGCCGAGCAGGGGACGCCCACTGGTGACATGGGTCCCTGCCCCCCGAGGGCGGCCTCGCCTGGCGAGACGTCCCGAGGGGCCGGCCAGTGGGGCCGTTCTGCCCGCAGAGAGACAGCGGCCGCCGCAGGGCCTGGCCATGGCCGGGTGCCCAGCCCCTCCTGCGTCTCATTTGCAGGTAACGAGTGGGAAGTCAGAGAACATCAAGAGATGGCCTTGGACAGAGCAGACATCCACGAAGTGATGGTACGTTCCCGAAGGCGTGAGCCGCCGCCCCCCCCCAGGCGTCTCACGCCGCCCCCGCCTGGGTGCCCGTGTTGCGGGGGAGGGGTGGCAGCCGGTGGGTGGTGAGGCCAGAGTGACAAGGGGCACCTCGGCTGGGTGGCAGGGCCTGATGGCTCCGGGGTGAGACGCGGCGGCTCGGGCTGGGGTTGGGCAGCCTGGCCACACACTGCGGGACGGGTCCTGGTGACACAGCCACACACCCAGCCCCCCAGGCCCCGCCAGGACTCTGCCCCCAACAATAAAGCGGGCAGGGGGCAGCCAGCCGGGGGTGGGAGACGCCGGCCGCGCGTGCTGTGTGCAGATCGTGGGAAGCGTGCACAGGTCCGTACTGGAAACACGATGGGGACGAGGGCAGAGACTGGCCAAGCCGTGCTGAGTTTTCGGCGTTAATTCCGCACCTCAGAGCAGCGTGTGCGGCCCGTGCAGCAGACACGTGACGGGAAGCAAGGCTGTGGCGTGAGCTCAGGCTCTGGCAGGTTCCACGTGTGGCCCACGTGGAGCAGACGCTCCCCCTCGCCAGCGGGGGCCTGGGTCTGGTCGGGGCAGCGGGTGCGGTGCGTGGGCACTCGGCGTCCTCCCGCAGAGAGGGGGCCGGGTCTTTCTGGGGCCTGTTCTCCGAGAAGGGACCTGCTGGCTGACACTGTCCTGGGGCCGGGTTCCAGCAGAGGCGTCTGGGGGAGAGAAACACCCCCGCAGTGACGCTCCACGCCTGCCCCAGCGCGGTGGCGAGCGCGCTGCTCTCTGCACTTTGCGTGTCTAAGAGAACTCACAGCGCACTTCACAGAAGGAGACGTCTGTGTGGAAGCAACGACAGGAGCTGTGGGTTGTAAAGTTTTTGGCAGTGAAAGCAAAAGGCAGACGGAATGTGTCCAAACAACGTGGCTTTATCGAGCGCTCCCGGGCGAGGTTCTCGGGTCCCAAAGGCAGGGGCCCCAGAAGTCGCACCCGTTTGAAAGGGCTGAGGGTTTTTATACTGCCTGAGGTGGGCCAGGGACTTTTGGCGGGAAGAGCTGGGGATTTGCCACTGTGGCCTTTGGCGGTTGGTTATTGAGAAATAGGAGGTATTTGCGGAATCCAGGAACGGAAACTTGGGACTCCAAGGACTGAAACTTTCCTTATCTGGGTGAACATCTCGGTGTGGTTATTCCTTAACTTCACTGGGCCTAACAGTTATTTTTGTGGGCCTTGTGGGCTTCTCCTTTTTCCTTTAGGGAGGGGAGGGGGCGCCTGCCACCAGCCTTACAGTGGACGAGTTGATTCAGGTCTGGGTGGCGTTGAAGGTGAGATGACTCAAAGTGTGTCCGCTGACTGTTCAGGGATGCAGAACCTCGCATTCCCGCAGCCCTTTGGGACCACCCTGTTGCTGGTGGCAACGCTGCCAGGATGGCGGGAAGCTGCCCAGGCTGGCGCGAGCAATCGGCACCCACAGACGGAAGCCGAGCTCTGGGGAGGTCCTGGAAGGAGGCACCTGTTCGCTCAGCCTCTGTCCGGAGAGCGGTTCCAGGTCGTTAATGCAGCTGACGAACCTGCAGAGGAAGAATGTGGTGGGAGCCAGACCAGGTTCAGAGGTGCTGAGGAAAAGGCCCCAAGTGAGGAGGAGGAAGAGGACACAGAGAAAGGAGGCCCCGACGGGCACAAATGGACCTGCCCCGGCCCTGAGAGGTGCTGGCGTGACTCCTCGGACCTCGACAGCCAGTGGGCTTTTTTTTTTTCTTTTAGAGACAGAGTCTCACTCTGTTGCCCTGGCTAGAGTGCCGTGGCATCAGCCTAGCTCACAGCAACCTCAAACTCCTGGGCTCAAGTGATTCTCCTGCCTCAGCCTCCCGAGTAGCTGGGACTACAGGCATGAGCCACCATGCCCGGCTAATTTTTTCTATATATTTTTAGTTGGCCAATTAATTTCTATTTTTGGTAGACATGGGGTCTCACGCTTGCTCAGGCTGGTCTCGAACTCCTGACCTCAAGCAATCCTCCTGCCTCAGCCTCCCGAGTAGCTGGGACTACAGGCATGAGCCACCATGCCCTGCTAATTTTTTCTATATATTTTTAGTTGGCCAATTAATTTCTATTTTTGGTAGACATGGGGTCTCACGCTTGCTCAGGCTGGTCTCGAACTCCTGACCTCAAGCAATCCTCCTGCCTCGGCCTCCCAGAGTGCTAGGATTACAGGCGTGAGCCACCGCGCCCGGCCCAGCCTGTGAGTTTTGCTTAGAATTTCACACCGAACACAGCGGGGGCCTTACCAGCGGGTGTTGGCAGAGCTGTGTCACATGAAGTCAGAGAGTCCCTTCTCTTTCGAGGGACCAGGAATTATGGGCTGCACGGAGTGCCAGCCAGGCTGGAAAGGCGGACGGAGCGTCACTCTGAAAACCACGAGGAGGCAGGAACAAGGGACGTGGGACAGTTTGTGTTGCCACCAAAACCATTCCCGGCGACGCTCATCTTTTTGCCCCTCCCGGAGTTCCTGGGCACGGAGACCCGGGTCCCCGGGGCCGTCCTCGGCGCAGGCTTTGCCGCCGTGCGTGTGGGCGCATCGCCCGGCTCGGAGCTGCGCTCTGCTGGAGCGGCTACTGAAGAAGGCGACGATGACTGTGGTGAGGAAGGACACGAGGAAGACGGCCCAGACTACGCCCTGAAGAAGGGTTGAGCGTCTGCAGGAGCGGTGTGGTGGCGCCAGCCGCAGTCCTGGCACCGTGGGGCCCAGACGGGGCGATGCTGGGGCTGGAGTTGGCGGCCTCGGCGAGCTGAGCCGGTGGAGCCGCCGCGGTCCACAGCCCAGTGGAAACGCTCAGGCGGGCGAGGGACAGCCCGCTCCCCTGAGAAGCGTGAATCTGCCACCTGACAAGCCGGTGCGAGCTTTTAGCCGTGGCTTGTTTGCTCGTTTTCGGTTTTTGCTGTTTAAAAAGCAAAACACCAGATCCGACCTTAGTTCTCACAAGAGAAAAGGAGGATTCTCACGTCGCACGCCGCTTACATCCCATCTCGCTACTCGCGGTTTTATGGCCCACTGGCCTCGAGGACAGGGTCTGTGAGCGCAGGGTGCTGATAGAGACTTTCTTCCTGCCAGTCCAGGTTGGTAAAAAATGAAATCCCGTACTTCCTCTGGACCATCAAGCGGGACGTCGTGGACTACCACAGCCTGGCCGGGGACCAGATGCTGAACCACTACGGGAAGACGGCCGCCTTCACCACCAAGGTGAGCGGGCCGGCTCCCGCCCTTGGTCACGGTCACGCCCCTGGGCGCCACCCCTGCGGTCACTCCCCTGGGCCCCTGCGGTCACTCCCCTAGACCCCTGCAGTCACTCCCCTGGGCCCTGCCCCTGCGGTCACTCCCCTGGGCCCCTGTGGTCACTCCCCTGGGCCCTGCCCCTGAGGTCACTCCCCTGGGTCCCTGAGGTCACTCCCCTGGACCCCTGCAGTCACTCCCCTGGGTCCCTGAGGTCACTCCCCTGGGTCCCCTGAGGTCCCTCCCCTGGGCCCCCTGAGGTCACTCCCCTGGGCCCCTGTGGTCACTCCCCTGGGCCCCCTGAGGTCACTCCCCTGGGTCCCCTGAGGTCACTCCCCTGGGTCCCCTGAGGTCACTCCCCTGGGCCCCCTGAGGTCACTCCCCTGGGCCCCCTGAGGTCACTCCCTTGGGTCCCCTGAGGTCACTCCCCTGGGTCCCCTGAGGTCACTCCCTTGGGTCCCCTGAGGTCACTCCCCTGGGTCCCCTGAGGTCACTCCCCTGGGTCCCCTGAGGTCACTCCCCTGGGCCCTGCCCCTGCGGTCACTCCCCTGGGTCCCTGTGGTCACTCCCCTGGGTCCCTGTGGTCACTCCCCTGGGCCACTGTGGTCACTCCCCTGGGTCCCTGTGGTTACTCCCCTGGGTCCCTGTGGTTACTCCCCTGGGCCCCCTGCGGTCACTCCCCTGGTGCCTCCTCCTGGCCCGGTCTAAGGCCTGGGTGGGTGGCTGGGCACCTGCCCCTCCCGCCCACGCCCCCCAGGGCCCCCGAGGCACCTTGCTCTGCCCCTGGGGCCATAGAAGGCGCCCCGTCAGGGCACACAGACAGGAGGGAGGGGGCCCCTAGCTCTGGGCCCGAGTGAGCCAGGCGGAGCTGAGCTGCCCCCGGGCCCCAACACGCGCCGTCTCTGCAGATCGGGCTGTGTGTGAACATGCGCAGCCTGCCCTGGTACGTCCAGGCCGACCCCGACACCTTCTTCCCACGCTGCTACAGCCTCTGCACCGAGAGCGAGAAGCAGGAGTTCCTGGGTAAGCGGCCGGGGACCTCGGGAGGGCCAGGGCCGCCTGCTGGGGTCGGGCCCGGACTGCCGGGCGAGGCCCACCCAGCCGGGCAACACGGGGAGGCTGTGCAGCTGGGTCTGTGGGTCCCGAGGGGCAGGGGAGCCTCATGACACGTGCCAGCTCAGAGCAGCTCTGCCCGTTGCCCGGTGGGCTGCTGTGGCCCCCCTTGTCCAGGGCCGGGCTGGAGCCTGGTTCTGCCGTCAGGGATGGGCCAGCGGGCGGGAGCCCTCGGGGGCCGGTGCTGTGAGCAGAGGGGCTTCTGGAAAGATCTCTCCCGGGCAGTGCTGAGACAGATGGGTGGGGCGGAGACCTGAGGACAGAGGACCAGGGAGAGGACGCCCTGGCCATGGGGGTGGGGTGCACAGGGACAGTGGCCCTAGGGAGGGAGGGTGGGGTTCTGCCCCTGGGCCCGTGGACCGGGCTGGTGAGCCGCTGGGTGGAGGTGAAGGGCGTGGTCAGACCTATAATCTGCAGAGGGGTTGGGGGGGGACAGGTGGGGGGCAGAGCGCCCCGGCCCCCTAGGGCTGTGGGGAGGGAGGCAAGGCCCTGCAGGCCGCTGGGGGAGCCTGTGCAGGCCCGGCCCCAGCTCGGGCAGAGGGGGCGAGGCCTCGGCGTCCTTTCAGACGACTTCCGGCGCACGGCGGCCTCCAGCATCCTCAAGTGGGTTGTCAGCCACCAGAACTTCAGCAGAAGCAAACCCAAGGGCAAGCGGGCGGATTCCGGGAACGGAGACCCAGACGGCAAGAAAGGTGTGTTTGGCGGGGCGGGAGCTCGGGGCCTCTGTCCCGGGCCTCCGTTAGCCTGGCTGGAGGGTTATTGATCTCACTGGTGTTTTCAGAGAACCAGATTTTTGTTTTGTTTATTTTTCACTATTGATTTCCAGTTTGTCAATGTCATTGATTTCTGCCCTCATTTTTATTTCTTTTTTTCTTACTTTGGACTTAATTTGCTTTGCTTTTCTAATTTTCTAAGGTAGAAGCTCAGATCATCAATTTTAGAGCTTTTTCTTTTCTTTTCTCCTTTTTTGAGTCAGAGTCTTACTCTGTTGCCCAGGCTAGAGTGCCGTGGCGTCAGCCTAGCTCACAGCAACCTCCAGCTCCTGGACTCAAGCAATCCTCCTGCCTCAGCCTCCCGAATAGCTGGGACTACAGGCATCCACCACCATGCCTGGCTAATTTTTGTATATATTTTTAGTTGTCCAATTAATTTCTTTCTATTTTTAGTAGAGACGGAGGGGGGGGTCTCGCTCTTGCTCAGGCTGATCTTGAACTCCTGATCTTGAGCGATCCTCCCGGCTTGGCTTCCTAGAGTGCTAGGATTACAGGCGTGAGCCACCGCGCCTGGCTGAGCTTTTTCTTTTCTAATGTATGTACTCAATGCGTTTTCCTCCAAGCTCTGTTTTTGCTGCATCCCACGGTTTTTTGTGGGGTTTTTTTTTGAGACAGGGTCTCACCCTGTCACCCAGGCTGCAATGCATTGGCCTCATCGCAGCTCACTGCAGCCTCACACTCGAGGCAAACCTCAAGGGATCCTCCTGCCTCAGCCTCCCAAATTGCTAATATTACAGGTGTGAGCCACCTCACCCTGCCCCATGAACTTTGATGTTATCTTTTCACTTTTACTCAGTTCAAAATATTGCTCAATGTGTTTTGAGATGTCTTCTTTGACACACGTGTTATTTGGAAGTGTGTTGTTTAATCTCCAAATAGTTTGGGATTTTCCAGCTATCTTTCTTATCAATTTCTAGGTTAATTCCCTTGTTGTCTGAGAGCATACATCCTAGGATTTCTATTCCTTTAAATTTGTTTGAGTGTGTTTTATGGCCTGGAATGTGATCCACCTTGGTAAATGCTCCGTGTGAGTCTGTAACTATGGCAGTGGACCCATTTCTATCAGTGCTCGAGATTCGGTTTCTGCCTCACGTATTCTGAAGCTCGTTACCGGGCACGTGCAGACTAAGGATTCTTATGTCTTTCCGGAGCACTGACTCCTTTTTCATTGCGTGATGTTCTTTTTATCCCCGATAGTTTTCCTTGCTCTGAAGTTTTCTCTGTATGAAATTAATGTAGCTCTTCTAGCTTTCTTTTGGTGAATGTTAGCTGGGTGTGTCTTTCTGTACCCCTTTACTTTTTTAGTCTGTGTGCACCTGTATATTTAAAGGGGGTTTCACATGGGAAACACAGTTACCGTGTTTCCCCAAAAATAAGACCTACCCGCAAAATAAGCCCTAGCAGGATGTCTAAGCATTTGTGCAATAGAAGCCCTACCCCGAAAATAAGACCTAGTGATGGGCGTGGCTACGCAGCGCATCTGCACAACCCATGCATGTCGTCGCTGAGTGGTAAAGAAGACAAGCAGCCCTTCTCATCTGCCCCATCGTGACAGCTGCTGTCCCAGAGGTGACCGGAAAGGTGCGGGCAGCCCCACCAAGGCCAGCTCCCCCTGTCAGGTCCCGGCCGTCCTGTGCGAGCTGCAAGCTGAGGCTTTGAGGGGAAAATAACACATCCCCTGAAAATAAACCCTAGGGTGTCTTCTTGAGGAAAAATAAATATAAGACCATGTCTTATTTTCGGGGAAACACAGTAGGTCTTGTTGTTCAGTCCACTCTGCCGATCTCTGTCTTTCACTTGGTATATTGAGACCAGTGACATTTAAAGTGATGATTGATGCAATTGGATTAACATCTCCTGTATCTGTTACTGTTTTCTGTCTGTTACCCTCATTTTTCATTCTTATCTTTTTTCTTGCGCTCTCTTTCTGACATGCTTGTTTTCTGCCTCCGGACTGCCTCGTGCCATTCGCGGATAGCAGTTCGGGCTTCCGACCCTGCGCGCTTCTGCACAGGTTTCTGCTCCAGAGAGTCATGGTTCTCTGTCCCCACCGCTCCGTCCCTCCGGCTGGCGGTTTGTCTCTGACCTCACTTGTCTGGGCGGTCTGAGAAGAGCTGGCTTTGCAGTCTGTTCAGCCTCTCGACCTGTTTGTAGGACGGGGCGGTGGTGCCCGAGCTTCTTTCATGCTGGACCAGAGACGAGAAAGGCCGTCGTTCGCTTTAGAATGGTCCATTGACTTCATGTTCTGAATCTCACAGCAACAAAGACATCCAGAGCTGTTGTCATCTCCACGCCGTCACACAAACGGGCGCCTCCCCGTGGGGCCTGGTCCCCTGCGCGGCCACCCCTTGGTTCAGTGCGTGAGTCCCCGAGTTGGTGGCCTTGGTCTCATAGCTCTTCCTGTCGCTGCTACCTGTGTCTACTGGGCCCCAGAGCCAGGCGGGCGGCGGGCGGCTCCCCCCACCGCTGCTCCTGCAGCCTTTGCTTCCTGAGACCCGACAGGGATCTTGAGTGGAAGGTTCCAGAAGGAAGGTGAGATTCCCAGATGCACAAAGCCACTGCGCCCCACCCCACGCAAGTGCTCTGAGAAGTCCGTTGGGGACAGGGGTTGTGCTCACCAGCCACCCACGTGATGCCTGCGGGCATCACACGGAGCGGGGTCAGTCACAGAGCATTCACGGAACACCCCACGCGTGCTCGGGAAAGTGTAGTTTGTGAGCGTGTACAAGACGTGCCGGCTGGGCATGGCGGCTCATGGTGGGGTTGGGAGGCCGAGGGGGGAGGATCACTTGAGCCTAGGAGTTCGAGACCAGCCTGGGCAACATAGCAAGACCCCCATCTCCACAAGAAGTTTTTAAGAATCTGCCAGGTGTGCTGGCGCCCACCTGTACTCCCAGCTACCAGGAGGTTGAGTCAGGAGCTCGAGGCTGCAGGGAGCTGTGATCGCATCCCTGCACTCCAGCCTGAGAGAGCAAGAAGACACTGTCTCTGAAAGCCAAAGTATGAGAAGTGCTGTCTATCTCGTTGCCGCTGTAAGGCGTGAGCACCCGGCAGCAGGGGCGCGTGCTGCGGAGGGCGGGCTGTTCAGGAGGGGAGGCTGCCTGGCCACCCAGAGCAGCTGTGCAGCCCAGAGGGGCGGGGCAGGGGGCTCTGTCCCCTCCACAGGCCACGAGGGCTGCCGTGTGGTGGTCGGCGCCCCACGCGCCCACACTTGGGTTTCAGATCCCGAGAACGCGGACACAAAGCTCAGGGGCCTTTCCGGGAAGCTCGTGGACACGGCGTGCAGGGTGTGCCAGGCCTACCTGGGGCAGCGGGAGCATGAGGACCTCGACATGCCAGAGGACGCTGTGGAGGACCTCACCGAGGACGAGTGGAGGGACCTGACCCAGCAGTACTACTCGCTCATCCAGTAAGACGCTGCCCGGCAGGGCCCTGGCGTGCCCGCCTCGGCCTGCGCCACTCGGCCTCTGGGCATCAGTTGGCACTGGGCACCGTCTGGACAGCCGGATGCCTTTCCGTGCTGGGGTGCCTGTCTCGGTGCCAGGGTGCCTGTCTGGGTGCTGGGTGCCTGTCTGGGTGCTGGGGTGCCTTCTGGGTGCTGGTGCTGTTGGGGCTGGGTGCCTGCTATGCTGGGTGCTGTCTGGGTGCTGGGTGTCTGTCTGGGTGCTGGGGTGTCTGTCTGGGTGCTGGGTGTCTGTCTGGGTGCTGAGGTGCCTCTCTGGGTGCTGGGTGCCTGTCTGGGTGCTGGGGTGTCTGTCTGGGTGCTGGGTGTCTGTCTGGATGCTGGGTGCCTGTCTGGGTGCTGGGTGTCTGTCTGGGTGCTGGGTGCCTGTCTGGGTGCTGGGTGTCTGTCTGGGTGCTGGGTGCCTGTCTGGGTGCTGGGGTGCCTGTCTGGGTGCTGGGTGTCTGTCTGGGTGCTGGGTGTCTGTCTGGGTGCTGGGTGCCTGTCTGGGTGCTGGGTGTCTGTCTGGGTGCTGGGTGTCTGTCTGGGTGCTGGGTGCCTGTCTGGGTGCTGGGTGCCTGTCTGGGTGCTG